AATAAAACAAATTCATATTTTTTGTGTTAAAACACCACTTGAAATTTGAAATATACTGTTTTAAACATTAGTTTAATAAAAATAATGAAATTGCACACAACAACATGACACGGATCAATCACATAGCCAACTGTTAGATACTTGTTTTTGCCGCCACGTTTTTTTCGTCAAACAAATGAGTGGTTTTGAATGTTTCAATCTTAAAATATTTAGAATTTTTTGTCAGTTAAGAGATTTTGCACATGCGACCGCAATCAAGTACGAAATAGTCGGTTTTAAGAGCATATTATACTTAAAATAAACGTAAGAGCTTTCTTGGATTAATTCACAATTCTATACTCGAATTAAATAATTTATTCTCAGATTAATTATTATAACTCTTAAAATACAATAATATCCCTATACTTCACTCAACATTTATTTTCTTATTGTATCGAGAAATATTATTTAAAGCAAACTCTGCTTTATTTCAAACAAATGTAATCTTCCAAGTGTAAAGCTTTTCTTGAATGTAGATGATAATTTTTTTCTGTGTAAGTATCAAGCTACCATAACCATTATTTCTTACGAACCATATTATGAACAAAAAAATTAATTGATATATATATATATTTGCAGAGCAAAAAAAATAGGAATAAAATATGCCGCAAACCCGATTCTGATATATCTTATAGAAACAGAAATATAGCATTGTAACTTAAGTATCAAGCTACACTGAAAAAAAAATTTCTGTTATATTAACAAAAACTAGCTGTTGAAATAACAAATGTTTTGTTGCTATACAACCGACAAAAGATTTTGTTAAAACAACAAAACACTTTTTGTTATTTGAATGAAAAATAATTCTGTCTCTTATAAAAATATTTGTTCTCTTTACAAATATTTTTGTTTGCCAAACAATTTTTATTATTGTATTTTTCACAAAAAAATTTGTCAAATAATTATTACACTTTTGTAAATGTAACAAAAATATTTGGTAATAAATATGAAAATAAGTTGATGATATAACAAATAATTTTGTTCTTTGAGAAATGAGAAAAAAAGGGCTAACAACAATTCACGGAAAACTTCAACTGTCCAATTAGATTTGAATGCGCAAAAGCCTACTTTAGATAATGATCGTAGAAAAAATATTTTTCTTATATTAACAAAAATGTTTGCTTTTTTTACAAAATTTTTGGTAAACTATCAGTGGTATTTTGTTTATTAAACAGATCTATTTGTTAATAGATTTAAAATATTTCTGTAGAATAAACAAAAATATTTTTATTAAATACATAAATTTTATGTCAATATTGTGTTATTATAACATTAAATTTTGTCCAGATAACAAAATTTTCACGGGGCATAATTGACAAATTATTTTGTTAATATTACAAATATTTAATAAATAAATCTGTCCTTATTACAATTTGTCTTTGTTCTCTTAACGAAAAATATTTCGTTAGTTTAACAAATATGTTGTTAAGATTTGTTATTTCCTTTTTTGTTGACGTAAATAAATTTTTGTTGTGACAACAAAAACACTTTTGTTATTTCTTAAGAAAATCTATTTTGTCAATATTACAGAAAAATTTTACCAGTGTAGCACGGCCAATGTTTCTTGGTAACGGCAGGAGCAAAAAAAAATAAAAATTGAGTAAAAAAAATAGCAAAAAATTAGCCAAAAAATATAGAATAAGTCACTCTGCGGGCTTGTGACTTTGCCATGCTACCTTTATAGTAGACATTGTATTCTATCCCGTTTCAAAGTGCTGGTATTCAAATTCAAATCAAGTTATTATACGTTGGGTGTTAACTGTAATTTATTTATGAATATACTTCTTTTAATTGTAGAAATCATTTTTTTCTATTACAATTAGATGAAATAAATAACTTTTCTACAATACATTGCGAGAACGTCGTACTTGCTTTGTAAAAATAATTTGATTTGTTTAAATCCGGACTATTGCTATTTTTAAAGAAGATTTAGTGAGCTCAAGAAATAATGTTTCAACCCTAGTTAATGCATGACTATAAAGATAGATATGAAAGTCTTGATTAAATTCAAACTATCATTTTAAAAAGTATCTTCATAGTAGGTATCCACTTGTACTAATTAAAAACTTTCATAAATTGTTTCATTAGGTTTATTAAAAAAGAAATACAAAATACTTGTTTTTAGTAAATAATTTACTGTTACAGTTATGGTGTAGATTAAAACTTATTTTGACTTTGCCTCCTACTTCGGTGTCACAAGCTGAATTTCTCAGGAATGAAAGTACATGATAAGCTAACCCTTATTCCGGAGGTAATACAAAATTAGGCAGGGCAAAAGGGCACTAACATAAAAAATCAAGTTACTGATACCACCGTATAGAAAAAAAAATATGTTTATTTTTGTTCTAATGCACAATTAGGTCTTAGTAGGAAGTATTTTTTTATAATTATTTAAAAAATTATTTGCATTAGCCTTTATGGTCAGTATCTCCGTTTTAACAGTATAAAAAATCTTCTTTTATAAATATACCTCTCATTTGACGAAAAACTAAGGCCTAAATAAAATAACCATTTTTCTTTAAGTTTCGCCTATGTATTGACAAGGTAACAGTGCTTTCCCCATATTTTTTGGTTTTAAATTAACAAAAATATAGCAATAAACAATCTATGCGTCTCTCTTAATGCTGAAATATATGCAATCAGTTTGACTCTCTTATATTATTTTATGCAGGCATTATTGATTTATGCGCTATGAATAATAAGGTGTTTTAACTACTTTATGATTTTTTTAATTTTTTGAGGAAAATAAAAATAAGAAAATATAAATCATTTATAGAAGGTACAAACACAGTATATGTAAGTATTGATTATAATTATTGGTTGATGTGCAGGTTTCCATATAATTAATTCTCTTTTCTCTATAGGGGGCGTTATAATCGTTGAAACATTCCTACTTTTGGGAGTTACAACGTTAATTTCTTTTCAAAATATTTTTTTATTCAACTGGTAAGGGTTGTTTTCGATTATTTCCTCTAAGCCCTGAAGATGGTTGTTGTCGAATAGCATTTTACCTTTTGGAGCCCCTCTTCAATAAACGTTAATATTTTTATCCTTATAAATGTCATTACTTGCTGCTTCCTACTACTAGACATTTTACTTCTGCGGCTATTAAATTGTTTGACCCTATTCTTTGTAATATCTTTGAGGATGATGTTGCTATACCTAGTTTTTAATTTGTATACAATATGTTTAGACATTACTTAAGACAGTCTTTTTCCTCTCAAACGTTTTTAATAGAATACACATTTGTTTATGTCAAAAGAAAATGTTCGTATAGATTTTCTTACGGGCGCAGGAAGTTCTATTTCAGGTATTTTATATTCTTTTAGTCTTGCGTTACTTTTTCTCTTCGCTTCAATATTTATTTTACTCATATAATTAATATAGCATAGCTTGTGCCAAAGTACTTCTTCGAATTTACTACTACTTTTAGCATCTGAAATGACTTTTTGTATTGTTTCATTAATAATGTCAATATTACATCGAATCTTGTTTGCCATAAGAAAAGTAGAAACATTTCATTCTGTCACCATAATTATTTCGCCTTAATTATCATTACATATAATGTACTTCCGCTATTTTGAGACCTAAAAGACACAAGAGGCTCAATTTTGCTTTTTGAACTTGTATCCGTTTGATTTCTGTTAAAAAAAAGTAATAATGTATAAACAAATATTCTTTAAAACAACAATAAAAATGTCATTGCTTAGGATCGTAAGTATACATGATAAATTAATATTCGTTGTTCCAAGTTTATTTAAACCCGAGTAGGCTATAACTGTATTGTTGGCAACATTACATAACAATATAAACAAGTATCAGTCATGGCCTATTCAGGATAAAAGAAACAAGCATATTGACTTGGCGAGAATTAGGAAAATCCCTATTTTGATATCATTTTTGTCTTTACTTTTTGCAACAACAAATCCATAATTAAACTTTTAAACGAAAACTTATAACTTACCCAAATATATTCAGGTGCAACAAGATGAATGTAGATATAATAGAGACGCAAAAATGTCTTTATTTCTTCCCAATTTATTAGGTACTTTAATATATACAGATAACAATATGACAAATTGCCCATTGGCACCTAACGAGAAGTTTTATAATAATAAAATAAAAAAATCCTACCATATCAATAATGTGATACATCAGCCGGCACGTAGAGAGAAACAGAGCTATGCTACGTTTATAGGCGAAGAGAAAGATACACTGAGAGTCGATAAGATTGACGGTGAGAATTATTTACAGAGTAAACCTATGACATCTCTCATCGTTTATTGTTATATCTTCATTAATTCAAAAGCAACAAATAAGGTGTTTACTCTGTTACCTTGTCAACACATGAGCAAAAATTTTATAAGGAATTTATTCTTTATTTGGGCCTTCCTTTTTTGTTAAATGAGTAATATATTTAAAAACGACGAGTGTTTAGCCAAATTTTTGAAGGGCTGAAACCGAGATATTTACGTTCATATTTCTTTGGTCATAAGGGCTAATGCAAATGATTTTTTTAAAATAAGTATTAACAATTACTCTCTACAAAGATTTTATTGTGCATTGGACCAAAAAATTAGTATTTTTTTCTTTCTTCGGCGGTATCAGTATCTGGATTTTTAATGATAGTGTCCTTCTGCACAGTCTCCAGAATATGAGTTATCTTATCATGACCTTTCATCTCTGAAAAATCCAGCTTGTGACGAAAGAGTGGAAGGTAAATCGTTTTCTAGAGCGAATATTTTAATACATACACTCTTCTATTACTAACATAAGTGTTAATGTTTTTATACAAAGCGCAGATAATAATAATAGGCAATACTTAATTAAAAATTAAAATAATTTAGTTCTTAAATGTCCATATTGTTTAAAATTAAATTTATGTAATATTTTCTACAATTCGATAAGAATAAGATCGATTGAAAAGTGTTTTAACTAACTTTTATATTATTTATTTGCAGTCCAAATTTACAAGCATATTCACATCTGCAAAAATGAAATACTTCTTTAGTACCATCAAAAAATGCAGTGATGAATTAGACTCTAATTTAGAAGAGATAGCGAATAATGGAAAGGCAGATATTGACATTTACGAAGTTATGGGTTGTTTTTTTACCGATGTGATAGGTATGTATACCTAAAAATAAGGGAGTGGGTGAAATAAGTTCTTATTATTTAAACTTCCTTATTAAAAAAAAAAAAATTAATGAGTTTTAAATAGTAATCAATGTACGTTTATTCATTTGAATTTTTATCGTTTTTCAGGATCAGTAACTTATGGAGTTGACGCCAATAGTTTCAAATCTCCAGATGCCATTTTCAGAAAATTAGGACGGGATTTTTTTGGAACCTTTACATTACCATTCAGACTAGCGTTATTCTTTACCATTTGTTACCCCAAATTTGCCAACCTTATGAACCTAGCAGGCGTCCAACCTAATATTGAAAAATTTTTCAAAGATTTTGTTCCAGAAGCTCTGGAAAACAGAATCAAATCCAAAGAACAGAGAGCGGATTTCCTTCAGTTATTGATCGAAATGAAAAAATCTGGAATTGATCTAACCGAAAACGAAATTATTGGTCAGGTAATTTATCAAATTTTTTTAAAATTATTTTTAAGAAAATTTAATTTAATATTATTTTATGTCCAATTTTTTCCTTAGCAAGTGTTTCATCATTCTAAATATTTGTCTTGTGAAAGTGAAACTGAGGTTCCTTTTTTTGTTTATTCGATGGATTTATTTATTTTCCTGAAGTTGCTTCTGTTTTTTATTAAAATATGCATTTGTTCACTGTTTAACCAAGAATCATTCATTGAGTCTAAAAAAATTTTGTCACCACTTATAGTCAGAGGAGCCCTAAGGTCTAGCAGAAAAATAGTCCGCACTAGACTTGGAAGTTACATTCCATCTCTGTCCATAAAAGGCAGTGTAAAATAAAAATACTTTTGATATATGTGAAGCCAGAAGAGTCCTTAGCCATTAGCTTAGGACTTGAAAATTGTATGTGCCTCTGAGGAGGATATTTACTGTATAAGGTGTTCCTTAATATTAACAGGTTTAAATCTATGTGAAGAATTAATGATAGTTTACTATATAAACTATGATCCAAATGTCCCAAATTTGTTTTATGTATTAAAAAATGTAAAAAACATTGGCGTATCATTGTTTTCTTTAAAAATATCTGAATTGTTGTATCTACGTACGCCACTGTTAAAGCTGCAATATTTTTATATTGAAAAATATGCGTTCATAATATCTATTACTAAATATTAAACATCCCCTAAATATCTTAAGCAGTTACGAGAGTATGAATAAATTTTCTTTTTTGTTTATAAAACTAGCACCCTGTATTTTCGTAACGAAATATTTTTGGACCATACTTCTGTTCATAAAACATTATTTTTTTATGTACATTCGCATCTTTAAATATTTGATTATCATTAAGAAACACCCTGTATATCATTAGTTCATAGTTATTATTATAGTGGCGACAGCGATATTTTTTACAGGAAAATGTAAATATTGCTGATAGTACGATTCTAATAAAATGAGACAAGTCAGACAAATATTTTGTATTTTTGTTTTTATACTCATTTTTTAAATTCAAACAATTTGCCCTGAACGTTGCTGCATATACCTACGTACTTATATTTTAAATAAATTTTAATTTTTAGTCTTTCATATTTTTCGCTGCTGGCTTCGAAACATCATCAGCAGCTTCTGCGTTAATGCTTTACGAAATGGCGAAAAACCCAGACATTCAAGAAAGAGCAAGAGCTGAAATTAAGCAAGTTCTCTCTAAACATGGAGACGTAACCTATGATGCTATACAAGATATGACATATCTCTCTCAAGTATTAAACGGTAAGAACAGTTTTTAATAAAAAATATATGATAAAAATATTTGAAAGTCCACAACATCAGATAAGCAATAATTTATGATTTCTGTATTTTTTCAGAGGTCATGAGAAAATATCCTCTACTGCCGTCACTCCATAGGGTGTGTGTTAAGGACTACAAATTTCCAGATTCTAACGTAGTTATTGAAAAAGGAACTCGCGTCATTATGTCGATTCAAGGATGGCACCGTGATCCAAACCTATTCCCAGACCCTATGAAATTTGATCCTGAGAGATTCGCAGATAAAAATGCTAAACATGAAGGATATTTCCCATTTGGAGATGGACCTAGAAACTGCATTGGTTAGTAATAATAATAATAATAATAATAATAAATGGAGGGTGGGTTGGCTCAGTGGTTAGAGTCATGACTTTGAGATCGGAAGGTCTCAGGTTTGAATCCCACCGTTGGCCGGGATTATTTCATTTAATTTAATTATTTAAAATTAAATCTGATGCCTTGGTAGGATTCCCCACTCGACCATTCACTGTTGGGTTCTAATTAACAGTGCTGTTCTTAAAGTGGCGCTGAGAAATATTAACAAAGCCTACACAGAACACGAGGCTAATGGCCATAGAAGTCGACGCCGATGACACCAAATTAAAAAAAAAAATAATAATAATAATATAATAATTTTTACTGATAGTGCTTCTACAGTTAGACCCATTTTAGAAATGAGGTTCTTTTTAACAGTTTATTTGTAAATAGTGAGGCGTCTACTTGTAGTTGGATAGAGGCAAGAGCTACGAACATTTACTATGTCCCGGTGGTGCTAGTGACCACGTAATCAAATTCAAAGAAAAGTTTATTATCAATTGATTTTTTCTATTTTTGCCGGCAAGAAAATATAGGCGTTAATAACAAAAATAACCCCTTTTTCTCTGTTTCCGGTATAGCTACATGACCGGATATCTAGTGTTTTAAATTAAATTCGAGGTATAGCTTATTCGCTGTTTTTAGAAATTAAAATAATATTAAAAGTACTTTTTCATTTCGCCGAAAACATTTATACATATATAAAAATTCGGCCTAATTTTTTTTGGGTATTGCGAATTAACAAAAAAAACATCGACAGTATCATAAAATAACTTGCTATATCCCTCTTTGTGATGAGTTGATTAGTGGAGAGTCGTTCCTCCCAGCACACGTATGGTATAAATTTGATTTTATTAAGTTCAATAATGTACAATAATCGTCGGGCTGTACGCCCAAATGTAGCAGTTGCAAGATAATTTTACGATAATTTATTTGAAATAAAAGATATTATTTTATCTTTTAAAATAATTTTTTATATCCCAATTTATTTATTTTATTCCTTCGTTATCATAGCATATATGAAAACTAAAACAATAATTATGGTAAAAAAGTAACATTGAGTTGCTGGGGTGTAATTTGAAAACTGAACTGTATAATTTTTTGACGTTACTTAGTTGGTAGTTCATTCGAAATCCAACCTGTTTAAATTGTTTATAAGCATTCCTTTAAAATAAAATTTAAACAGCGCTAAGTCTGGCGAGCGTGGTGGCTATTTCGTAGTGCCTCTGGTACCAATAACTCGATTGGGAAATTGTTCATTTGTTCGCTACCTGTGCATTATGCGAAGTACAAATATCATTGATATTTACCTGGGGTTTCTGGCAGCAGGAATAATTTCATTTTCAACTAGTTGTAAATACTTTTGGGCATTCAGGTCACTCTGAATTTAAACAGGAACCGTGAAATTACACTCCCAGATATTTAGTTTTTGCGGATATTGTATGCGTTCAGCTACACTTAAGTGTTTATTCTCTTGCGACGAATAGTGTAAAACAAAATAATTGTTTACAGTGGAGAGTAAAAGTACACTTATCTGTAAATAAAATATTTTTTAAAAAAATTTATAGTTTGATTTGTTCTTTGCATTATTATGTGGAAAATCTCCATCCATTTTAAATGATTGTCAGTAAAAATTTCTTGAGTGGCCTGTATCTAAAAAACAGAAGTATCTGTTTCGTTTTAAAATATTTCAAACCTGTCTCTATCAAGTCAACTTTAGCGGCAATTTGTCTACTTGGAGTCAGTGTCACTTCAGCTAATGCACAGACTTGCGTGGCCCTAATTTCTTATTCTTCTGTCAATTGATTTCAATGTAGTTGCCTAGAGAGACAACACTTTTTGAATTTATTGTCACAGCCAAAATCATCAATTTTTTTATAATTGCACAAACTGCATAATTCGTAGGAATTTACCTTTTTTCAAATGAAGTTGAAAACAAATTTTTAATATTTTGCACCAAATGACATCTATAGTACCACTTCTTCATTTGTTTTTTTTTTTTAACGAATGGTATGAACAACGTACGGTATATTTATAAAAGACCTTTAAGTGTCGCTTGTCACCACTGTCATGTCGTGGAAATGGTTAAACAACTTGAATAAAAATAAAAATGAATAGATAAAGAAATTTAAATTTGAAAATATTAATAATACTAATAATATGATTAAGAAAGTTGTAAATATCCCGAAATATCTAATTTTGGTAGTGAGGATGACCAAAAACTTGTTGAATACATTATGGACAATAAGCACTGATGATGGCAAATAAGCCGAAAGCGCTTTGCATTTATTAATTAAAAAGTTTTTCACGAAATACAAGTCGTTCCTTTTGAAGATATTTTTCAACCAAATCTGACACACTTCTATGGGACTATAAGTACTACTTTTTACAATACTAGTTTTCGTTACATCATCATCTGCACAAGCATGACGTCATTTGGGGAAAAAGTTAAATTGGGAAGTGAATTATGTGACACCAGTAGTTAATGGAAGTATTGAGTACACTTTTTAAACTGCGAAGTCGCGGCATATGTCAGTGTCATGTCATCTGCCAACTGTCATATGTTAACTGTCATCTATCAACTGTCATGTCATATGTCAGCTATCATCTGTCATCTTTCAACAGTATTGCCAACTATTCAGTGTTGACAACCTGCCACCTATCAGGTTTGCGACTCGGCTTGCGACACGGCTGAGCAATCTAAGATGGCGGCCCCTGTATACGCTGATCGTTTTTCTGTCTCTCTCTGTCTTTCCGTTTGTCCACCTAAGGTCCTTTTGGTAATGCTAGATTTATTTCAGTGATATGCAATTTGACCTGCGTTTGAATAGTAGCGAGGCTTTGCTCTGACTCTCTCGTTTTTTCCAATAGCAATGATTTATTCCCTTACGGCCATTGAGCTTTAACGTTATTCTACTTCAGCCTACTCCCGTCACTAGGTCTCCTCTTCCTCTAATTCTATGATGTAACTGGCGGACGGTCGCTTCGTAACTAACTCATTTATTATCTGTTATTTAGGTGCCGCGGTGCCAATAATCAATCGTTGTAAAATGCACTTTTGTTTTTACGCCCCAAAGGTTCATTTATCATTATTTAAAAATGAAACTCATACCAAAGATTTAGAAAATAGCTACACTTTTGGGAAACATATTAATAAAAATAATAATATGTTGTTCACAATAAAAAAACAAATACTTCCCGTAAAATAGATTTTTTCTAAATCGGCTATTCAAAATTTTATTAAAATCGGATATGTAATATGGAAACAAAAGGGCATCTGCACGATTTTAAGAGCGTTATCTATACAGGGTGTCCCGAAATTAGACGGTCATATTTTAACAGCGTAATCTACATCTTAAAATAGGAATAAAAGTTCATATAAACATAGGTCCGAAAAGTTTCTTTTCCGAGATACAGGGTGTTAAAAGTGAAGTCCTGATGACACATTTATGTAAATATTTTCTAAACGTTTAAATATAACTAAGGAAAATTTGGTACAAATGCCTACCTTTAATGAACTTAAACCCAGTTATTTATCATCTTCATAGGTGGGTAAATTAAGGGGGGGCTTAGGGTAAAATTGCCCTAAGTTTTTTTTGTTGACAGTTTTTAACATTTTTTACTATAAATTTTGAAATAGCAATATTTTCTTTATAATAAAGCTACATTTGTTGCATCTCGCTAGGACGCACCATTTTCAAGAGAAAAGCATTTGAAAATTTCATGATCAGTTATTCGAAAGTGCGAACAATAATTAGTAGGCCTGTGAAATCAAAATTTTTATTTTTTTTAACTTTAGAAAACCGGTGACTAAAGAAATTTTAGAAAATATTTACAAAAATGTGCCATCAGGACTTCACTTGTAACACCCTGTATCTCGAAAACGAAACGTTTTCGGACCTGTGTTTATATAAACTTTTACTCCTATTTTAGGATGTAGATTACGCTGTTAAAATATGACCGTCTAATTTCGGGACACCCTGTATACTAAAATTGTCTTAAAAGTAACTCCAAGTTTTCAGGCCTATTTTTTAATATTTTTTTAGGAAATTTGGCATGTATATTTATAGAGTCGTGCATAATTTCTGCTACGGAATCCTAATTTTGATATACAGAGTGGCCCATAAGTCTGAAAACGGCCAATTATCTCGTAAATTGCTAGTCCTAATTGTACAAAATTTGAAGTACACCTATTTTGAGATTCCATATTTGATATTTGCAATGTTGTCAGATTTGCTGTTTCTCTTATAATATTAGTCACTTTGGTTTTTCAAATTCATCATTCTGTATATTCAGTGAACATTGGAATCTCCTATTCAATAAGAGTTCAACCATATATAACACTTATGATTTTATGTAGTCTGGCAATGCCTAATTGTCTTAATTAATTTTTAATACAAAGTATTTTCAACTACATTAAAACGTAACAATTGAAAGATTGCACCATTTTTAACATAATGGTTACTTTATCAAGTGTTCAAAATGTGCTCCATTTGTGAGTTGACAATACCTTAATCGATAATAGAATGCATCTAGATACCACATTTCTCCATGATTGTTTTATTTATTTATTTCAGATTAAGTAAAATCATAAGTGTTACATATGGTTGAACTAATATTGAATAGGATATTTCAATAATGACAATATATAGGGTAATGAATTTGAAAAACCAAAGTGACTAATAATATAAGAGAAACAGCAAATCTGGCAACATTGCAAATATCAAATCTGGAATCTCCGTATTCCAAAATAGGTGTTCTCCAAATTTTGTAGAATTAGGACTAGCAATTTACGATATAATTGGCCGTTTCCAGACTTTTGAGTATATATAAAAAAGTATTTTAAATATATCAAAAAAACAAAATTTAAAGAAAACTAGTTTGTAGCCGTATTTTTATTAAAAAAACATGTTTAGTTCAACTATTTTTGTTTTTACAAAGCTTATTTTTTTTGTAAATAACTGAAAATCGAAATATGTATTTAGAT